GAGATGTTCCATCACCTTGTTCGAAGTGACACATGTTCTGCCAGGACTCGCGAGCGTCTCAGTGCAGCTTCAGTATGTTTCTGTGACTTGGAGATGAGTTCCAAAGTTTTCCAGTACTTGTGGAGTGATTCAATATTTTAAGTTATGCCTCTGATCAACCAGTATGGACAATCGCTGCAAGATAACCATAGAAATGCCGCTCTGTTATTGTCTTAAAACACTAAGCATATATGGCTTGTCTTGATTCTGAGTATGGTCCTTCATATTTTCCATGTATGTATAAAACAAAACAGGAGACGTAGTTGTGCAAGGCAAGTCAGAGAAACCGTACACGGGGAACGGCAGCTATTCATGCAGTTTGAAGCATCTCTGGCGGGCGCAGCGAGCACTGGAGAGAAGCTGAAACAATGCAGCGCCTTCGTCAAAGAGCTGATGGCAACCATCCCAGGAAGCGCTCTGAGAAAGGTTGTTGTTCCAGGCTCAAATGGTCTGACTGACTCCCGAGAGGCTATTCTCAAGCTTGTCGATGCAACCGCGTCTTTGCACGTCTTGAGCATAGTTTAAGCCAGTACTCCAACGTCCGCAAGCGCTATGCATCAATTGACGTACCGTTTCGCTGGAGTAATTCCACATAGCGGCTCAAATTTAATGCCTCGAGGTCCTCACAAAACTGTCTGATGGCAGCATAAATAGCCTCAACAACGATGTTTGTCTGTCAGGTTTCAAGACATTTTAGTCCACTTAGACTGCATTTTGGGCACATTGTTTGTCTGGGAGTCGCATGCTAATTAATAAGCTTAATTTAATCTACCGAGCCAGCACTTGTCAACAAAGATGCTAAAAAACAGACTATCTTTGATTTTCAAGGTCCCGTTAAAACAACAGATATTGTTATTTTCGGCGACGCATAAGGGCACCCACAAGATTCAGTTCAATGAATATGGGAAAGAGAACATTAGTCGAATATCCAGAAATGGCTACATAAACATACACACGACTCGACTATTGTGGAAAGAAGCTTGGGTTTTGGCTATGAACGCATGAATCGGGACATGTGATCAACTGTGAGATGACAGATTTCAATCCAATGCATTACTCTGAGATTCATTGAACAAAGACTGATTCGTGTTCTTGATGAACTGATTCTCTATACCCCAGTTGAAACGGAATTTTCTGTGTACCTACTCCGTTCTTATAGATACAGTCTTCTTCCCCTGGGCAACCCTGATACCGAGGCTGCCCACAGCCGCTCCGTGACCGGCTTCAAACCGAGCTGACCAAATCGATCCTCCGAAGATGTATGGTCACTAAAGAGAAATCTGGTGATGAATTGGCCCGTGAATTCGATCAGAAGGGATGCGGCTTTCCCGGTGGTACTAATTAGCGAGACATGAGAGGATATTGGCTAGTTTCTTGGGATAATGGACGAGATGCCTAATACCTTCACACAAGATGCTGTTAGATGTAACGGCATTCTCCTCTCATGTTCATCTATATCATCTGATGACAGTTATTTTGTTTTGTGTATGATATGATTAAGATAGTACTCAGATGTTGAATATTTTGATGTGGTGTGGTGTGAATAAGTCTAAAAAAACCTAACAATGGTGATGAAGACAATAGGAACCCATGACAGCAGTCTCGTGTCCGATTTGATTGCTAATGATGGTAGCCATAAAAGTTTTCTTTTAAAATGTTGGAGGCAAATCCATAAAGACTTATTATCTCTTTGTTCAAGTGCTATTTATTAGCAGTCTGTAGGCGGAGTTAGGCAAGTTTTTGGCAAGCTCTTGGAATGGTTACCCCGTCAGATGCGCTCTCAACCTGGTCCACGATGTGTTTGATTACTCAAAGTCCGTCACTCGCTGACTACGAGTTACTATTGCTGCCGCCAGCTACGTTTCGGAGCGGCGTTCGAGATGCTGTTACACCTGAGTGTCGTTACTTGTGCAAGATTTCAGTGTTGATAGTGTGGTCTTGAGACGCTTGTAGGACATTGTCGGAGCTCTTGGATCTTTTTTTGACAAGAAGTCCATCGTGCCTTGGCTATGACGCGAACAAGAAATCAGGTTTTGGTTAATCAAGAAGCATAACTTCTGATGTCTTCTAGGCAAACACGTCAGAACTGGCAATGGCTATAGGGGAGTGATTTTGATACGTACGCATCAAAGGCCGATGATCACCAGGCCCTAGTTGCATGATGGGTTGAGAAGCGAGGTGCTAGTTCTTCTTATTGTCGAGTTACATTCTTCAGAATATAACATGCAAAGCGGATATGATATAAACGATAAGATGCGTTCTGGAAACCATGTCTTACAGTCCCCTCCCATAGACCAAAACATCTCCACAGAATCATCTGTAAGCCACACAACCAGATTTCTAGTTGATGATTGTTCTTAGATACTAATCATTCTCATTGATGGCCTATTTCTACTCAGAGGTCATGTCTTAATGCGTTGGCTCGCAGTTTAAGCCGATCACGTCCGCAAACCTGGTCCCCGGCTAGAGGGATGTCGGGTCTAATTTTCCAAATGAATAATCCCAGCATTCATCCAATAAGAAGTCTCAGTGATTGCCTTCAGGAAGACCATCGCCAGTGGCCGCATCGGAGGTAAAACAGTCTTCGGATATGGGCTCAAGTTCATCTTTGTCGCCGGTACTAAAAGCAGTCTGGTTCTTGATAGCCTCGCATTTTGATATTGAATTTTTAAATATAAATTGTTCATTAAGTATTATTCTGAATTCAGAATGAAGCAGTATTTGTCTGTAAAATGTGGATTCGGCCCCTGCTGGGATTGGGATGTCTGAAGCGAAAGCGGTAGTAGTGATGGCGATGGCTTCATTGGTGTTGAGCTTTGAGAGTGTCGAGCTGTTCGCCGTGACTGAGTCTGAATCGAGTTTGAAGATACATACTTGCTGAAATTAGTATACTCTTGGTATTTAGAGGTCATGATTGTGGTGAGACAGGTTCAATGGAATGGCGCTTGCTTCTATGCAAAATCAGATTTGAGTTCTCGAAAATTCTCCACACCTTCAAGCCAGGAATCGAGTTTTTGTCGCAGGATTACGCAGTAAGTGAGTGGTCGATGACCAATATGCAGTATGGGCAGGTGCTTGAGTGCGTGTTGGTTAGCTTATCGATGAGGCTTTGGCTGTTTAGGTGCGGAGGTTTCTAATAACGTTCCATGCTTCAACTTTGAGCAAGCCTGTCTACTTTGCTGATGTATGTCATGATTACCAATTGAGAGCAATGATGACCTGAGAACTTCACTGCCTGGGACTAAAGTGCTTGTAGGGTTGGTCGTCTATTGCTTGCATTTTGGGAGGGGGGATAAAATATTGTCCTAAGTCATATGAGATGCTCTAGTAAGAGGGGGAGGAGGAAAAAGAGCCCCACATGTAGAGCTGAGTGTGTGTGTGTGTGTGTGTGTGAGATTGAACGAGTATGTGAATGAGTCGGTGAATGAATGAATCGATAAGTGTGGTTGGGCTGCCGGCCGCCTCCAGTAGTCCTAGCCAGTCTACTCCGCCCAGTTAGTAGGCACTTCAGCTTTCCACATACAGACCACGATTCAGAGCTATTCCATGCCACGTTTCCGCCCACAGTGAGTGAGTGAGTCACTGAGTAAGTGAGCGCGTGTCTTGAAACAAGGTAGATTGTTTTCACTTTGCTCCTTTTTCTCCACAATCTTGCAAGTACTATTTTATTTAACTCAAGTAAATCACTGTTGAGTGCTTTGTAAAATAGAGAGAAAAATATTTCATCATGTCATGTTGGAGATGAACAGTGTCTGTCAATACCCTGCCTCTATTATTTTTTTCTCGGCAATATTACAGCCATTTTGGCATGATTATCCGGTATATTTGATTCAATCCTTATACTGAATAGCTACGTTTACATTTTCTAAATGTAGGCTTGATAAATGCAAAGCCTAGGGGAAGTCGTTGTGGAAATAGCTGTAAGACCATGATCAAACATGGGTCGAATTGAGTACAGTGTGAACGGTTGGCGGCACCCGTAGGCAGGAGCGGGGGCGAGCGGAAGACACGAGAGAGAGGGCACGGCGATGTCTCCACAGCGCTTGAAAGCCTTGGACTGCAACACAGGCCTTTGTCGACTTTAGGTTGTAGTGAAAGACGCAGACCACCTTCAGCCCTCAGCACGTGCAAAGCGCAAGAGGTAGGTACTGTCCAATTAAGCCAAATACAAAGGGCTACACATCAACAATGGGCGCACTTGCTGCTTGGCTGCGGCTGCACTTAAGTAGGGATAATGTGTGGACACAGCCTCACGCCACATAAATCGTGGCGTAGCCTGTGTTAGTGCACCCTGCTTAACTGTCAACGGAGCACTTTTGGGAGGATGTGCCTTAGTTTCAGCACCTAAGATGCTAACCTCAACGTGTCTTGTGTAAGCGACAAGACTTTTTGCTGCCTCAGGGCTCGCCATGACAAACATCGAGTCAATCCAAAATTGTGATGCAGCACATAGCAACAAGTGCACTTTATTATCGACGTCCATTCTCATTATGAGTGATAATAGTATATATACTTGTTGCGTGTGCATGCCCAAGTAAAATGTAAAATGCGGGTGGCCCCTACCGCACAAGGGTTGAATGTGATTCAGTGGATGTCTCGTCTCCCCTGAGACGAAGTATGAGATAATACTTTTGTCACTAAAAAGTAGTACATACCCACCTGCTAGCGCCATATCACGCCTTGAATTCGAAGTGCCTTGGGTAATCAGCTCGCATGTCACAGGACGGCATCTTTCGTGCCAACCCAAACAAATCAAAAGCTATGGGAAGTCATCTATGCAAACAACCCTTTTCAAGTCTTCAACAATGTCGAAGAATCATTAGCCCAATACCCTTATCAATAGTACTATAGGGGAGGATGGGGGGAGAACAGAACCATTGTGCCGTTTGTCTCGTCACTAAATACATTGGTATTCATGTTTCCTTTTGTACACTCGCCACTTCCATCACCCAGTCCAAGCCTCATGATACTGGGTCTTGACCCGTGACACTCTTCATTCTCTGAGACCACTCTTCGTACGAACTATTTACCTTGTCTGCTAAGCATTGCAGATGCTCTATAACGGCCTCAACTCGCACACGCGTCTGTCGCACCATAGAGCATTGGCGATCTATCTTGACGGAAGAGGGGCCTCTGTTATGACCGTCAACGAGGGTGAGTACTGACTCCATCGAAGTCGCTGTTTCGAACTGAGCCTGCAACTGCTCGATCCGTTCCGGCGCTGCCCGGCGGAGGCTTTCAAGAACTGCGAGCGCCGAGGCTATACGATTGTGCCATTCTCGTATTGCAATCATATCCGAATTAAGTTCAGCTGTCAGCGCCTCCCGTCTCTTCTCTAGTTGTTGTCTTGCGGCCTCGAATTGTTCGAATCGGTCTCCTACCATCGTTGAAGGCGACGATACATCAACAACTTCCTTGTTCGGAGACTGGCAACGGGCTACAGGAAGAAGCGAATCCCAATCTATAACCCTTCCTCCAAGGCACGCAGCTAAAACCCGTCGCCACAGCCCGCCGTGTAAGTTGTCCGGGATGTCTTCCTGTGTGACTCTGAATATCCCGGTTGCAAAGGCAAAAATTCCACAATCCGACCCATTCGTCTGACGGTTTGTCAGACATGGGTCAGCCACGCGAGAGAAATAGGGAGTCTGCGGCAAGTAGTGCTTGAAGAAGGCGCCTATGAGCTGCTGAGCTGCGTTGGTGTGTTTATCGGACGTCATGGAGTCGTAAAGCTTAGCTGAGGGAGTGGTGAAGCGGGCCTTTCTCACGATAGCCAAGGTCCAATGATTGTTACACACATGCAGTGGCAGTACTACCGTCTTACTGGCCAAGATGAGCGACAGGGTCTCAGAACGAGGAGAGTACTTGTCTTCCGCCATCCGGCTCACTTCGGCAGAGTCCAAGTAGCACACATCCGGGGCCAACAAGTCGCAGAGACTTCCAAGCGCGCCATTCAGCAGCGCTCCCTTGACCCAGGTAGTATCGAGCAGGAGGGCATCAGTTTCCTCAGCAGGGACAAGGGGGGGTGACGGCTCGACTCGAAACCTCTTGGGCCCGTCCGCTTGGTCTTTGCCTTCCATATTTGGCAACGCGGGGACTAGTGTGAACTGAGAATCCGTCTCACTAAAGGACAGGCACCTCTTAGTTGGGAAGCTGGAAGATGCCGGTGTGTTGTTAGTGCCGTCTGTGTTTTTGTCTGCTTCTCTGCGTTCTCCTTCTACGTCGGCTTCTGGAAAGGTGTGACCCTTGAGCTCCACGTCGAAATGATGGTTGGCTTCGGGCGTTGGCGACCGCGACGGTGACGACAATGGAAACGATAGAAGCAAAGGCGAATGTAAAGATGGCGGTGAGAGGTCGTGCTGGTATTCAACGTCGGTGCCCGGCGGCGCTTTCTGGGTTTTGGGGAGGGTATACCCGAGCTCTGAACTTGTCCGTCTGGCTTTCTCGGGTTCTTCCGACTCTTCGATCTCTCTGTCTTCTTCTGCTCCTGTGAGGTGTCTCTTCTGGTGTCTATCCTGGTCCAAAGAGGTTTGCTCCTCGGATAATGTCCCATCAAGTGAAGCTTCAGGCGAATCCCTCACGGCGGGCGGTGCTTTCAGAGGCGCCTTGGAGGATGCTGATGTTGCGACAGGTTGTCTCCCTTGTGGAAAGTTCTTATGCTCATTTGTCGCGTCGATGTTCTGATTCAAGTCTTGGTCGACCTGGATGTCAAGCTCGATGTTAGAGTCGAGATCAGAGTCGAGATCAGAGTCGATGTTAGAGTCGAGGTCAGAGTCTTGTCGCTCTACACCCACGGCGTTCGTTGCCGCTACTGCCGGGCTTTTGTGACTAGGAAAGGCTTTGCAAGTGGAAGCTTGCGAATGTATTGCTTGTTGGGACTCCTGGTTTGGTCTGCTTACGATAGGCGTTGGCTCGTTACTGTCGGTCTCGGAGACGCTGTTTCTCGGAGGTGTCAAGATAGTGATGACATTTTGGACATCAACTCGTTGTACGCATTTATGATGGCCTCCCAATCGCTGGCGAACTGATACCTGGTTGATCAGGAGCTTTAGGCAACTGTCCCACTTGTGGTTGAGCTTTGCGAGGACGAGCAGGGCTGTGAAAAAAGGCTGGCCTCGTTTCTTGCCGTAATCATGACCGATCTGGAAGAGAAGAAGTTTTGAGTCAATTTGCCATATTTGACAGACCTTGTGCAGCTTTCCAACAGTGTCTCGCGACGAAACAGAAAAGTCAGCGGCTGGGAGATGGACGAGAATGGCCTTGACAAATGCGTCAGGGAGCAAATAACGTAGAGTAGACGGATCAAAACGTGGCCTCGCGGTGTCCAAGACTTTTTCGATGGATCGAAGGCGCGGGTATACTTGCGTAATGAGCGTGGCTGACTGAGAGATGGAGGCGATGAGGTTTTGGAGATCTTGTCGGGGGAGATCTGGGAGCTGTTGTAATGTTGGTGGGATTGTTGAAAGAGACCGAGATGAAGAAACCGAATCTGAAGACGCAAGTGAGTGTGGCATACTGCAAGTCAATTGATTTCGACGAGAGAAAAATAAAGCACCGTGGTCGGTGTGGTGCTGCTGCTGTTGTTGTTGTTGTTGTCTAAATGACGCGCAGCTGATGGAGGTCTGAGATGGTTATTCTGGAAGAAGGCAAGTCAATTAGTGGAAGGTGTTGGTGATGATTTGGGACACCGGCAGGCAAGTGCATAGAGGGAGAATTACAGGGAGTACGTCATACTTTCTGCTCTGAAAAGTATGACCTGGTCCGTGCACGGCCCTGATCTGAGAAGGTGCGGCTGTCTCTCCACCCCGCTAAGAGTACGTCTTACAGCACACTTCTAGCTGATGGGAGAGTCACAATTAGAATAAAGATGGCTGCGTGTGTTCGGCTCAGTCGTCTTTTTCGCGAGCCGAGACGAGAACTACAAGAAGTTTGAGTGCCCCCAGTTGGAGGTTTCAACGCTGGCAAATTAACCAGGGCAGGGCAGATGTACGGTTGGAAATGGGTTATGAGGCTCTTGGTCATTGTAATCGACCGATGTTCTTAATCCTCAAAACGCGACGCGACCTTGATTTTGATATAAATAAACAGGCACCCACCAGGTCTTGATGGCTTCAATATCATGGTCAAACTCATCCACCAGACGTGTACATACTTAGCATATCTTATCGTTATCGCCAATTCTCACCAAACACATCTGAGCGAGGTATGTTCACATAAGCCCGCTGCTTTATTACGCACATCATCTCTTTCTGAAGCAACTTACTCTTTTACACTCGTTCTCACCTGACCTTCATGTGCCTAGTTCGTCGCAGCATGTATTATCGCTATCGCTTTGTCACAGGAGCCTTGGGCCACACTTGCTACCTATTGTAGTACCTAAGTGAGCCAGCTGCCTAACAAATACCTCAAGTAGGTTGCAGCGTCTTCCAGCTAAGTTCACCTGCTGAGAAACAAACCTATTCTCTCGCACACAGCAAACCTGTTGAAGTTTAGGAGTTCTGCCACTCAAGCACTTATGCCTAATGGATGGCCTGTCTCTTTAGGCATCACTAACATAGTCCAGCAAAAGCCTTAGCTAACTACCTCATTCGCAACGCAGTCGTGAAGTCAACGCAACATAAAGCTGGCGGGGTACTAGGTATTGAAAATACAGATGACAGATGACAAGGAACAGCCACCATCACCACTAACACTTTGTGACTTTGATTTCCAACCCATACTAAGGCTAACAACAGAATTTTGACAAAAAACCACCGTTGCGATTTACTTTTAGCGGCGTCTTTCAACTCTTTCACACCGTAATTAATGTTCGACATGACTTACCTTGTTTCCGCAGCTCTCGCTCACCACGACCAGATCTCTATTACACCTCATATGAATCGAAAGTCTGTCCATTTATCTCAAATCAACTCAGCTTGCGCCCTAGATACATGTTCAGCCGTTGACAAGTGCTGATAAATAGCCCAGTCCCAAACTTAATCAGGACTCGGTCATCTGGACCGTCGATTCACTTGGACCTTCACAGTTGCCTTGTTCAAAGGTCCTGTCTGTCAATAGAAACACAATTTTCTTGATGTCCTGATGAAGCAATCGTTCTTGGGTAAAATCAAGTTGTTTTACCAATCACGCAGTCCGCCTCCTTGTAGTTCGGCTTTGGCAAGGAATTTGGGATATTTGTTGTCCTCGAGCATCAGAATGGCTCCGCTACAGTCATGCAAGCCACTTCTGTTGTCATCTTGTCTAATTCCCATTCGATATATCCCCCTCTTCCCGTTTCCTCTGGCCTCCTTGGCAACGTTGAACTCGAGACGATGAAGGGATTCAGTAGACATTTTGCCGAATCCAAAGAGTTTCTACCTCGCCAACTCACACATAAAAGGCTGAGCCTGCGTGGCTCGGCACTTCAAGATAGTATACACTTCTCCGAGACTCAACCTCTCACAACGACGAACGGTCTGGCTTACTACTTCCTATTCTGACTGTTGCTTTGCCGCTTATATGCCCTGTTTGAGAGTAAAAGCTCCTTACTTCCACGGCAGCGATCTCAACTATCATCTCAGGAGAGATTTCAATCCATTTTTCAAGTCTGGCAGCACAAGTGACCCTCGCTAACAAGCTATATTCTAGCAGACTCGTTAATATTGGAGAATCTCGTGCGGGCCTCTAAATAACCTCCGTCAAATTGAGCTCTTCACATGGCTGCGAGAATCTAAATAACGCTTTCCCTTCACCAGAGTCACTAATGAAGAAAAAAGCTACCAAGGTCGGCGTCTTTGAAGAGGTTGGACGGGAGAAAGAGAGGTTTTTTATGGCAAGCAACAACAAAGGCAACAAGAGGGAGGGGAGTGGTGTCAAACCTCCTCGGCCACCCCCTCCTGCCACAGAAGCACGCCACAAGATAAGGCAATGTGGTTCTTGGTCCGGATATCTAGACGTCCTGGCCCTCAAGCCAAGCCTCAAGCTGATCATACCCGTTACACCTACCGATGTCATCGTTTAACAAGCCAATCATGCATATGCTACTGACAATGATCTACGCCTTGCTCCATCGCTGCTTCAAATCCACACAGCATTTCAGGCATACCTTAGCTATCTCTTAGAGGTCGAGCATTAGAGTACGGCTCTGACAGCAAGCAGCTCTTTCAAGTAGACCGGCAGGTAATATTAATGTGTCGGCTAGCCTATGGAAGAAATCAGCCACAGCCACAAGTCTCTAAGCGGTGCTATTTGGTTCATACTATGTAGAAGCGCAAGGAATGGAGGGTCAGGCAGATGCAAAGACCGAGGGTAGTAAGTCATGTAAATAAGCTTGTTTTTTGGGTTAACTCGGATGCAACGAGTGTATTAACATTAGGAGGGGCAAAGCATCAGAGGCATACACCTCTGGCCTGCTACTTTCTGTTAACCTCCCGGCTTCCTCCCCTACCTTACCTAGAACTTTGCTTTGGTTTACCTCAGGGCTTGACAATTTCTGCATAAGGTACACTCAGCTCACAACTATTGTTAACCTATCTTTATGAGAACAATATCTATACCCTTCCGTGGATGAAGACATTCATCCATACTTAATATGCACCGGTTGCCGATATTAGATACAGTAAGTTTTACACTCATAGGCTCTTATTCCTTGCTTCTCTCACCTTAACATGCACCTGCATACTCCCAAAGTCATCTGAAATAGCAAAAGCTTGCCCCTACCCTTCTTTACACCTTCCATATGAACAGTAAGGCTGACATACTCATCATTTCGAACTTTTTCATGGACATCGAGCACAAAACTCGATTTTCGACAACAACAAGGGTAAGTCTCGGACTGGTGGATGAGCCGTACATGAATCAGAGGAAAATAAAGCATGAGATATCTCATAGACTGGATGTCATTAGAGGGACCTGACTCCTCCCACCACCACCGTCAGTAGCATCAAAATTACCATTTTGGAAATGTTGCTATAAAGAGACGGCCGCCGCTCCAAACAGACCTTCTGCTAGAATTTGGTTGCTGTTATTTCCAGTTCGACGTCTGACTATGTTCGCTGCTAAGAATGCCAGTGATATCTTCGCTTTTAGCCACGCCAGCTCCTGTTCTCATCAGGGGTTCTTTTATTGTTTCATAATCCCTGCTACCGCTCATATTCATCGACACGAGATCAATACCGCTTCCAGCGTCATCCTCGCCGAGCAAAGCTTCCATTAATCCATTAGACCAACTAAAAACAATGTCTTCATTGAATCAGTTCACATTGACTTATCAATGGTGGAGAGTAGAGCATAACCCTTCATGCACATTCAGTTCCGCGCCCATAATCTCACTCACCGGCATACCCTTCTTACTCATACATTTCTTCAAACTTCAGTATGCTAGGATTCATATTCAATGTTGTACACTCCTTGTCTTATGCATCCCATGTCAGTATATTGTTGAATCTTGGTAGACGTACATCAAGGCTGATTATATAACTCAAGGCACTACTAACTGGTTTAAATCACGTCGGATTCTTCATCTCTCTTCGACTTGTCATCTTCGTTGACGACTACATACGCAGCCCTCGAACTCGCGCTTCACCGTCGCTACGCTTACAGGTCGTAGACGGTCTTAGGCTAAGACATGTTTTTATATTATCTTTTGTCTCTGGCATGGCCTTGTTCGTCGATGTTTTTGTACACCTGGTTCTCTGTTAGTCATTCTGCAATGAAATCAATGGAGCTACTGTCAGACTCACTGCTCCAGCCACCAGCAAACAACTTACCTCGCCTGTACCTAAGCTTATAGCATTTTCTGCTCCTTTTCTAATCAAGATAAGCTAAACCTGTATAGCTAGAAGAATACTTTATAGGTACTATTATTTATTTTACGTAACTTTGTGATGGTAGTCGTTACACATAATAGAGACGGGACCTATGGGGTGCGTGCGTTGCAGTTATTTCAACTCTTTCCAAGGGACCTTGTCAGATGCCGAGCTGAGCTCGCCAATAGTCAACGTCCTGCGAAAAGAGCTTTTCGAACTGACGCAGTTTTATCGACCTAGGCGTTCACAATGAGAGTAGCGTGTCGGTACAGGGCATTGGTGAAATCTTTGGCACCGCATCGCAGGTCGTATCCGTAGTTCCGGGCTTTGAAGATCGATGAGTGGCCATGATTCGAAGGCGGCATAGGGAAGCCAGGTGAAACTGCCGTCATCGGGGCTGTATTGGCATTGGTAGAACGCCTGCGAGTGTTGTCCTGTTAACATGAGATCTATGAGGCCGTCGCCATTGAGATCAACCAAAGATGTAGATATACTTGGGGTTCCAGATCCCGCATACGGCCGGTTCAACACCTCGACTGTAGGCCCATCTCTACTCGAGGGGCACTATCAGCCGATACATCCGAAGAAAAACTGCCAAGCGGCGCTTTGGTCATATTGCGCTTGTAGTACCATGCATTGTTGCTCTGGCCCAAGATACCTGTTGTGCCGTCTCCCGCCAGGTCTACCCATTGGATCTCAGAGAAAGTATTAGTCGGGATACTTTGGACAGAACTCGCATAAAAAGCCTCGAACGTAAGCTGTTGCAGGTCAATTGCTTGCGGGGCACTAGTATATTCGAATTCCATGGGTGGACGGGTGCTAGTGACTGTCTTCGTGCTGGCCGTCGTTGTGTAGCCAGTCTGACACACACTTTCTAGGAACGAAATGTTCGCGTTCTCGGTGTACACCAGATCTAGTGGTGAAACGAGGGTACCTGGTCAACCATCAGGCTCCGGTAAACTGTGGATCATTAAGATGCGCCGACAGATACGGTAGGTTCGCAGCTCGAAGCCAGGCGTGTAGACAGAGAAGGGATCCGATCTCACTGGCCAGCCGGATGGGGACTCTTCGCATGCATCTTCTACCTCATTGGCGTGCTCGGCATAGTCGAAGACGACTTCGAAAAGGTATTTCAAGCTTACGGACGACGCTACAGTGTTCCAGTCTTCACCACGATGTTTGTCATGTTTCCGTACTTGATACGCTTGAGGACCAATACCGTTGCCCGTGAAGACTGGATTCGGTACTCTTCGTGGGCAGCCGACTTATCGACATTGACGCCGTCCTATCTCTTCCACTCCACTAGCTGCGCATTACCATGCTTGTCATATGACTCGCATAGCAGCCAACGGAATACCCGAGGGCCTTGCGCAACCCGGGAGTCTTTAGAGCCACCAAAGATTTGTGTCTCGTTCTTCGACGACAAGACTCGCCAGTGAACATCAGCCGGGTCCCCTGCGTTGGTCCACTTCTCAATGCGCTCGAATGAGTGATCTACGCAGCGGCTATACTTGCACACTTGATGTCCATCTTGGAGTCGTTGGTCCAGTTTGTAAGTGCCGTCGTCGTTCATTTTCCAGTCACCGAGCCCGTCGGGTTCAAAAAGTGGCACGATTTCGTTCCCATTCAGCATAAATCTGTCTATACCATCTTCGTATGTTGGCAGACCATTGGCCGTCTTACGTTCGATAGCGGGCAATCCAAGCAGATGCCATTCAAGTCCAAACGGCCCGTTCCCAGCCCCGGAGTCGTATGACAAGGATATGTTCGGCATGCCCCAGCGTGAAGACGCCGTGACTGAAATCGGGACGCTCATCGTGACGCTTCCAGAGACTAGGTTGACGTCGGAAGCTTCTTTCATCCCCTTGATGGCTCCTCCTCCGCTGGGCATCGTGACGACTGGAAGAGACGGACCGTCCGCCTTGCGGTCCACTTTCCATGAGTCTCGAATTTGCTTTGGCGGACATCACTGCTGGCCGGGCCACTTCCAGACCGAGCAGCCTGCTCGGGCTTTGGAACCATACGTCCTGACCCTGACAACATGGCTTATGCCTAGGCATATCTTGCTGGGTCATTGGAGCCTTTACAACGGAATTTCTGATCGTCACAACAGAATGATTGTGCGGGATACAGATACAGTGGATTTAAGCGACGAAGAATCCCTCAGCGAAAGTAAGAGTGACTTTCCTGGACTAACTTGGACGGGGGGAAGAGAGGCATTGTGGTCTCAAGTCGAATCAGGGCACATCTCATCCGGCAGGTGAACTTCTAGCGTCCTGGCAATCCCGTAAAAGGAAATAGATAACGAACTTTCAGCTAACGACTATCAGTTGCGTTTAAGAATCCAGGCTCATCGTAACACTATGTAAAGGTATGAGAAATATTAACACACTGGTGATAACCAAAGCTATTGGCTTCCTATGGGGGTGTTACCAGGCCATCGCCAGATTGGGCTATCAGCGATACTTTTGGGAAGAAATGCGGCGCGGACCGCTTGACCAGGCCCTTGGCTTTCCTCCATAGGAAATAGGACTTGGTGGCACACTTGATGCTGCACCACTCGAGGCATGACATAAACGGCAATCTGAAGCTTTCAAAGTCCCTCGTCTCTCCCTGTAAATTCTTGACGCCCCAACTTCCAAAAGCCCACATTCATGACCGGTACTTTATCAAACTTTGGTAAATAAACCGTTTTGTTGTATATTTTTTCAATCTGTACTCAAATGTCTTCTGAAAGCTAACACCGGCTTTTTCATCAAGCAGTTGGAAAAGAAGATGTTGATCCGACTACAGACTCGGTTTCGAAGGCGGTCGCTTCGGCCAATGCTGCCCGCGCTTTTGTTCTTCAATCGGGCCTCGGAGAAGGACTTCTTGAAAAAGTCGAGGATGACAGAATTCAGATGACCGCTGATCCGTCAGTGAAGGAGTACATTGTCCAAGCATTGGCTCCGGCCAGTGGTGACAACACCACAGAACGAAACACCGTGGCTCCCGTGGATAATGTACCTCCGGAGTATATTAGAGCTGTTGCTCAAGAGATGAAGAGGGTGGCTCGCATCGCCGCACTTACCGCCGGTCCAGAGGCGATGCCTGGATCGAGCCAGAGCCAGCTGACCAGCCTCGCGGTGGCCAATTCATCGCCGCAAGCCTTTGTTGCGCAACATGTCGACACCATGGAGCCTAGGGTGGCGGCTGCAACCCACACAAATGCCGAAATAAGCACCCGAAACAGCGCAGCGATGATGGGTGTCTACGACTATATCAAGGGGACTGGCCTTTCCGTGATAGACAGCGCCGAGACCTCAGAAGACAGGATGAGACAGCTTCAAGGAGAGCTGGATAGACATGGTGTAGACCTCAACCTGCAGTCTCTATTTGGTAGCATGGACCAGCTCGTGCTTGATGAGCATTCGACCGTTTACAGCCCGGCCGCGTACTTTGTCGACCTGCTCGAGTTTCTCCGTCATAACAATCTCAATCCGACCAAGACAGCGGTCAACACGAGTGTATCTGGCCAGGCCGACGATCTCAAGGGATTCGCCCTCGAGTATCTGCTTCCTCGTCGGCCCGACCTTCAACATCTCGAACTCAGCTCCGAGAATACGGGTACCGCGCTTCCCTACGTGGATATCGCCAACGGGGTCCTTGAGTCCTTCAGCGTTAACTACTCCCAGTACGTCACAGACGAACATCGTCCCAGATAGAGCGTGGTCGATGATGCAACGTCAAGTCGGAGTCTTCACAAGAGCTCCTTTCCCACTCTCAGTTTTTCCAAACAGAGGCCTACCGCAAGTTGGCGAGCTCTATATATCCAACCGATCTATCGTATCACCAGCCGCTGAACTCGCAACGCACATTTCTAGGTTTCATGAAAGTGAACCGCGCCGAGCTGGCAGAGGAATTCCGGACAGGTCCATCGCCTGAAGTGCGAGCGGCCTACGACCAAAAGAAAGCCTCAAAGCCTACCGTCGATAGTCTCGACGAGTTGCATAGTGCCGCAAGTGACCACCAGGTCGCATGCGAGTGGCTTAAGCTGTCCTAGGAGGAATTCCTCATCCTTACAAAACAAATGTTCTGGCCCAAATAGATGTGTATAGAACCCAATGGACGCTCGGCGGTTGCGGGGGAGTACTCGACACATGAGTACTGGGGCTGTGCGAAGGACGAGGATCTCCAGGACGCACATGCTACCACGAGGATTGGTCTCCGGTTTGTCAAAAACAGCTTCGGCGGCGGGGGAATCTTGAGTACGAGGGTTTGGTATCAGTCCTCCAAACACAATCTGTGAATCCCAAATCCCCGTCTGGGAAGTCCAGAGTCATCCTCGACCTGTTGAATCAGAGCTACAAGATGCTTCAGACGCTCGCCGGCACTGTCCAAGCCGCTCCTGAGAAGCGCCTCGGCCTACTGGCTACCTTCCTTTCATCCCTCGCACCAATCATCTCAACCAAAAAGGTGCATATTACCGAGAAGGAGCTCCGTAATTGGGCGCTGAACGAGTTCGATAATGTGGGCAAGTTGGTCGTTCTAGACCGACCCAGTGGTCAGGCATTCGACCTGGCGAGTTGTCTATTCGCCGAGGATCAGGCTTCCACCGCCACTCAACCAGGAGGTGAGATGTCGATGGGATCTCTGGACACAAACGGCCATATCATCTCGGAGAGTAGCAAACAACAAGTCAAACCGCGAATTGTAGGGAGAGTCGAGGCCGATGGCACAATGACCGATACGGCATTCAATCGCATCGGCTTTATCGTTAGAAACATTGCCTTCTACAGCGGGTGTTTCAACCCTAACAATCTGAACAACCGATTTCCCAAATGCCAGTTCAAGATCTTGAGTTTCGACGAGGCCAAGACGGTCATGGGCACAGTGTCTAAGGGAGTCATCTAGTAGTCCAGGATCGAGGCCAAATCTGGCGTGGCTGGAAGGGCAGCAGCACCGGCAAACTGAGTATCGACAGGGGTCATCACGTCTCCCATGCACATCGAGAACACGCAACTTGTGCACCTGGATCGCTCGCCGCTCTCCCTCGACCGCCTGAACCGCTTCATCCAGCTGCGGCGCAAGTTGTGTTGGTCCGTTGCCGACATTGACAGGGCCCTTGCGGGACTGGCCAAGGTCGACGCGGAGCACTCGTTGACAGACATGACGTCGGAGCTATTAGCTTCGCTTTCTGCGGTGGTCAGGATCTTGCCAATGACAAAATTGACCGTCGGGGATCAGTTGACCTTCTGGGTGCCGCTGTCATCCCGCCTATAAGAGAAGCTATTCCTGAATCAATACCAGCGTCAGGCCGAAGCCATCTTTGGAAAGAACAAGGATGGCCTGCATCTCTCAGATTCGGAAGCTAAACTCTCTGATCAGGTGTTGACAATTATGGCAGCTTTCAGAATCAACCCAGACGACATAAGCGTTTGCTGCAGCCACCTGGAGCGAAGCCTCACCAAAAAGCCATTCTTGAGGGCGTGTCGCCTATGGATAACCTGTCGGTCATATGCCGGTACTCTCTTCTCGCCAAGGTTCTTGGTGTGGGCGTCGGAGACCTGTTTCAAATCTCACAGGCCTTTGGTGACGCTTTTGGAGACCCGGCCACATGCCTCCAAGTTCTGACCTCGTGGGATACGATCGTCGCTGGTGGCGGTTTTCTGTGGGCGGAGCTGCGCTTCGTCTGCGAGACTGCCTCGACCTTCACAAGCTTCACCCGCCCGTCACTGATCCGACCATGTAGCTGGTTGAGTCCAACGCGACGTTGTTCTTTGACAAAGAGACCGCAGCATCCATCGTGGCTCTGGGATAGGGCACGACCACATACACTATATCGGTTCCTATTTTTGCTAACCCCGAATTTCCGTACTATGTTGGCGTTGCCGATGCTGCGCCGAAATCGAGAAAAGCACGCTACATCTCGCCAAGGACGACGTCGGAGGAGGGAACTAAGACTGCAAGGCCGCAGTACGACAACATCCTGACCAAGGACGATTCAGACAAGCTCGCGAGTATGGCTAGGCGCCAGGTGAAGAAGGGCACGACCTGGAATTAACCCCCGGCTACGGAGCAAGAGAAGGAGGCCTAGCAGGCTGCAGTCAAACATGCTCATCAGCAGTCATTCAACTTCTACCAGAACCACCTCAGCAGCCTTTTCCCTAGCGAAGTGGAGGACGTCTTGTGGTCGGTGACGCAGACTTGGAGAGTCCAGCCCAAGAATGTCCGTCACAACCTACGGAACAGCCAGCGAAGATTAACCGGAGGCGGACAGGCGTCATCCCGGCTTTCATCTAGACGCAGCCTAAGGCTAGCTCACCGAAGATTTCTATTAAAATGGCCACCAGCGATGGACAGACGAAAACGCAAAAGGCGCTATGCTTCCTACTATATCTCATTCCGCTCCTGAAGGAGCAGCTAGCCTAGGAGCACATCATTAAAACAATAACAGAACGCATTAGCTTCTCGGATATAAGGATGGCGCGGATGCTCTTAGAGAAAATCGTCACGGTGGGAAGCCAGAAGCAGTCTGCGGACGCCTACCTACTGCAATCCATCGGAGGAGCAAGTAGAGACACATACCAAAACTACATATACTCCTCTATTAGCGGACAGACCCAGTTTATATATCCTCAAAACGATAAAAGAAATCCGCCGGCTTATTGCTAGACCGCCAAGAGCTGTTCCTCGCCTAGAACGAATACATCGATATTAAATCAACTAACTCATACACGTTCTCGATTATTGCTAATAAATGTCCCCTACTCATAGCTTTAGACGGGGTCAGCCTAGGTTTCAAACAGGTTCAATAGGATCCCAAGCCAGTCTAGGCAACCAAGAAGAGCATGGGGCTTGATACCGGAAGCATCTATCATCTCAAGCTAAGGGGTATACTTTCTGGCCAGCAGCTGTCGTGGAAGTCTAGCAAGTCGGCACGCGTTGACATCCCGGAGACGGCATTCATGCCCGAGTTCACCCAGCGGGCAACGTACGGCCTATTTATCCAGCTGAGGAAACTTTTCCTGGTGCTCAAACACATCAAGCTGTTGCCCAGTGAGGTCGAACACATCGCAACTCATTCAGACCGACTCGAGGGGTTAACTTTTAGTGAGCTACAGAACATTATCCAGCTGAGATATCTCTCTGAAGTGGTGCGGCTACGAGGTGGGATTTCACCGCAGCCACACACCAGGCTGTTCGACCTGTTTTAATAGGCAGCATCCGCTGCAGATGATGCCGACAAACTATCTGTGGCGAAGCGAGTAGCTAGGGCGACTGGTTGGAGCGAGGCTCAAATTGGTCAGATGTTGGAGCACGCGAGCTTTACCAAGGGGTCGGCCTCTGATTTTACCAACACAAAGGTGCTCATCTGCCTGCAGCGGATCCTGCTCGGCCTGGAGCGCGACAGCGTGCCGCCCGAAGCCATCGACCGCCGGCGCACTGAGTCCGACTGCGGCCCCCCGCAGGGCCGGATGGGAGGTCAAGCTGGGCTGGACCGAGTACTACAACGGCCGTTGGACCCCGATACGATCAGGATCAACTCCATCCGGAAGTTGTACGGTGAGAGAGTATCTCTTTCCCGTCTTTACTGGGTGTTCAATGGCTCCCATTTGTCCCTGGAAGCCAGCTGATCCCTGGAGGATGGAGGGTGCGGACGACTATGATCTGGGCTTCTAGGTAAGTTTTGGTTTTCATATGTAAGACGGTGGCAACGCTCGAGTGCAGTCGATGCAGGCCAAAGAAACAATCTCGAAGGACAGGAGTGGCACCGGGCCGCTCGGGTCGCTATTGAAGGATGGTCAGTTCCGAGTGGACGACACAAGCCGTTACAGATCCAGACCAATGTCTGGGGAGGATGGCCCAATGCTCTGCCTCAAAGACAAAGGCGACGATGCCATAAAGCCGTTTTACTACAAGCCAATCAGAGCCCTGCTCGATAAATCGAGTATCGGGGACAAATCTGCCGATATCTTCAACACTCTTGCAACTACTATAGCAAGATTACCAGTGTTTGGGGACACAGAGATATTACCCTTAACAACTAGCCCTTCTTTTGCTAACATTTCTAACCAGTCTCACAAGAATAACATTCACCAAGCATATAGCAGACATTACTCCAAGTTCTCCAAGCGACAGACGCTATTCTCGCTCTACAAATAGGAGCTGGGCTTACACGTGCCCATTATGATGATTGACCGGCTCTACAAGTCGCAGCAGTACGAGCAGGCGCTTTCGGTATGCCACTACGTCTCCAGTTCAAATAAAGGTGCTTCCGATGGTGATGTCACTCGCTTCTGGGTTTTCTCGCCTTTTAAGCTCATTAAAGATGATATAGAACCCTACCTCTCGTAATTAGCGGCAGGAAATCAGGAGTCAGTCTCCACTTAAATCACCCTTCTCTGATTCTGAAATCTTTAAGGGAACCTATTAACTGACTCGTCATTCTTCTACATCATAGGCCTCTGATCAGCGAATGGAGAAACAACCCGTTCCAACCACATGTTGTTGCCCGCGGGCGCCCAAGGGCGTATATGAAATGGATCGTCATTAAGTACATACAGATTCTCATCACTTATGCCGACTCGCTCTTCCGCCAAAACTTGTTGGAGGCCATGCCTCTGGCGATTCAGCTGTACGTGCTGGCATCGCACCTGTACGGCCCTAGGGGTCGGAAGTTAGCCCAGCGTCGCCCGACAAAGCGATACACATACGCCATGCTGTCTACCAAGTTCGATGCCTTCTCTAACGCAATGGTGCAGCGGGAAGAGGCCTTCAAGATCCGGCACGCACAGGACGTGCGAGGTCTTGGTCAGGCGCTGCTGCCGGGCCGCGAGAAGCTAGATGGCGAGACGCTGTCCATCCTCCGCAGTCGACATCTCGACGCAACAGGCTATGTTGGAAACCAAGTTCCTGGCGCTGGAAGAAGCCCAGAAGTCCATCGCTTTTGTGTCACCACCCAGCTTTTCCTATGCAACTGGGTTCCTCAAGTCGGACCTAGCGTAACTAGCGCCTCGTGTGGCTCTCAGGGACGGCCAATCAATGCCAACTAGACCCATGTGCAATTGCGCGTTAGTGACTGACAGGAACCAGATCTGATTACTCCGTGCCTTGCTTGGTTAAGCCCTTTAGATTTTTCCATGAAAATGTAAGTAGACAAGTGGAAAAGACGATAATACACGTCATGTGACGAAATAGGCACATAAGAATCAGGCTAGAAAAGGTGTAAAAGAGTGACTTGATTTAGAAAGAGGGTATGTGCCTAGGGAAGCACGTACTTATACGTCTACTATGATGAAGCATGTGGCATTGCGTGTTTAAATCTTCAGAGCATTGAGACGGCTTGGGGTATCAAGTCATGCTTCCATGAAGGAGAGGTATTTCTTCAAGTTGCCGCCACCTAGGCAACCAAGGTCGTTTACCTACGTGAGGCCTAGGTGGTCGACGCCCCGGCAATCGTTCCCCGAACGGCCTGTCATGGAACTACTTCGGTCCGGAATTCCGACTCTGGTCAACTCACATCACACCCTGGGAACACACTTCCACGCGACGCCGTCACCCTCCTCTCCTTCTTGGTATTCCTAAGCGGAAAACAAGTTGCCCCCCACGCCCGGCACTTAGCCGGACTCTAGAGCTATAATCATCTAGCATTTCCCAGTTTTCATTAACAGTTCTCGGTAGCACATGTGTGTTTCAGACTCTAAGCTCCCAACAGCCAAAATTACTTACTTGGTATATCATATCCCAGCATCAACCCAGAACTCTGCTATGGCTCGCACAGGGGGTTCTTTTTATCCGAAATCGCAAGAACCAGGTCATGCTGCCATCTTGAACTCCAAACCGGGCCAGCAATCCGGGACCCGCCGCAGCCAGTCGTAGAGGCCGCTATGACATCGCTGTCTGCCTGTGGACGGGATCGTACTCCTCGCAGCACTCCGTAAGAGGAGAAACAAGGGCTTGCCGACGAAGTTGCCTTATTGGGATACTTTTATGCTATGGGTAGAGCTGCCGGTCTTTGAACCTAGACGTCTAAGTATTAATGCCTAGAACGACGAAAGGTTGGACTTTACTTAGGTTGTATCGGATAGCCTCTACGCGGCTACCCTGTTTAAATAAAAAAACTCCCTGAAAAGGTAATTTTCGTTTCGATTACGCTGGATATTCCGGTATGCCCGTTTTGCCTTTGATAAGGTGGTGCTGACGCTAGTTACCTTGTATATACGAGATGGAGGATGCTAGGAGGCTTAAGTATGGCTTGAAGCGTTAGCGTAATATTCCTAAGATGAATACTTATGCGTAGTATCCCTGACGGATCGTGGAGTTGACTATGGATAATCACGGGCTACCTCTAGGAGAGGGAGTAGACGACCGCTCCCCCCATGCCTAAGAGCGAGTCGTTATATCGGCTGAAAGGTTTACTAGGATTAGATTTAGCTGGACAGGCCTCCCTCGGTATAACTACAAGTCTGATACTTAACTTTATGCTAATGTATAGATAACTACCTTGGTTAAATAACTATTATTTATGCTGCTAGGGGTGGTACTAGCGGCTAAGCTATCCCTAACCTGCTTGAAAGTTGGTGACGTGGCTTGCGGGCTTGGCTAAAGGCTCCTTTTATAAGATACTGCGTATATAACGAGTAGTTAATACCGTGAGTTCTAATTACTACTATTTTTAGATAAGACTAAATAGTAATTATAAAGGGTAAGGAGCCTACTGCTACGTAAGGGGGATTGGTAAGTCTCGGAAGTGAATACTATACTATCTAGAGGTACTATATATTAGAAAAGGGACGTTGAGCCGGTGGGCTAAGTGATGTTAGGTTTGGGTTCCTATGCTAACGTAGAAGTAGTATATTTCTTTATGGGTTGATAGGTAACTATTTAATCTAACTATTATGCCTAGGAGAAGGGAGTTTATAATACTAGTAGTCCATGTCTTATTTATCATCCTGCCTTCCTTACTCCTATACTAGCTAGCTTATAGCAAACCATTTAACCTTACTTTCTTACTTATTAATAATAGCTAAGTTATAGTTTAAACAACTAAATATAGAGTCTATGGGAAAGCTTTATAAAGAAAAAGGCATGCAAGCAGAAGGAGCGTGCATAACTGAAGCGCTAATACCAGCGTGGAGAGGAGAAATAATAAACATACCTTCAAACATTAGCGCTGCTGCCGCTACTTAAACAAGATATTAAAAACCTTATTACTAAGGAGATCTAAACTATTGACTATTCTTCAGGTATGCTCCCTATTATATGCCTTTAGACCTTGACTTACGAGAGATAGCTAATGTTCGAAACCTTGGTAGTGTTGACGACTATAATTTTAATTTCGTTGGCGTAGATTAGAGCGATAAATGGAACGATATAGCGTATATTGTAGACACCTTTGCACTACTATCTAAGATACCTAATACCGCGATAGTAATAGCTAACTTTATGTCTCCTAACGCGATGAAGTTACCCTCGGAATGCTGGTTGCCTTTATATACCCTTACTTGACTACCTTCCTACTGAATAGACCCTTTAGAAAGAGATAAATTCTTTGTCTAGGGAACTATCTATAGCTTCTAGCCTAGTTAGACGCTTAACGGAGGAACTACGCCTAATAAGTTATGTTATAAGTATTATAGACATAGGTAAGCGACTGTTACTAAAGTGAAGAGATTTGATGTTAACGAAACGTTATATAGCTATTATAAATAATAGTGAGAGTAGCGAGGATAGCGATATCTGCGAAAGCTATAATGATAATAGCTTAGCCGATAATAGCAGTAGTAGCTCTGATGAAGATACCGATAGCGAGAGGTGTGCTCTAGAGTTAGTAGCTTCAAGACCTGAACTTGCGGGACTAGATTCGTCGGGAGCTACCATACTACAACTCGTTTCGATAAGCAACTCCACAGGGCTTAACTCAACTCTGGTGGAATCCTCTCCTGCTTAAGAATCCCTAGTCTTATTTTCTCGATCGATATTCCCGCTGCTCCCTTGGCTAGAACGGAAGGGGCCTTAAACAGACATTTTTACGCTTCCTACGCCGTCCTCGGATCAACCCTCCGACTTATAGGAAGATGGTAATAATATTACTAGTCGGAAAAAACGTTATCTTAGTATGATTGAAGACTGTAACGATAGTAGTAGTCTTCGCTTATAGAAACGAAGGAAGTCACTAGATATCAATAGTAGACTAGTATTATAAGCTCTGCTAGCTAGAATATTGCGCGCACTACCATCTCGAGTCTTGGTAGGGAGGGGAGATAAGGAAGGCCTCATAACCCAGTGTGATAGACAGACCTGCTATTCTTCTAGATTACGGTCGCAGTCTCACGCACCTAGTTTCATTAGCTGTGACGATAACCAGCTATACCCTGATGAACTACCTGCCCTGAACGCGGGTAATGCTTTAAGAAGAGGAAAGCGAAAGCGCACTGAAAGACGACCTGGGCGATTGCTAAGCACACCTGAAGGCATATCACCTTGCCCCCGACTACTCTTTAAGGGAACCTAATCCCTAAATGTCCGAACACGCTTCCCTTCGTCCTGCTACTACTACTATAGATCTATCCTTAGCTATATATTATGCTTATAGCTTCTCTACTAAATATTTACTCTAGATAAGTAATACCGTCTATACCCTTGTTAGAAGTTTCTATAGGCTATCTAGTAGTAAGAAAGGACTAGACATACTTTACCTAGGGTTTATTAGGAATTATACTACGAAGAGGCTTCTATATAGTATCATAGGTAGCGATCCCTATATAATAGACTAAAAACATATAGTAGAGGTAATAATTAGGATGTTAAACTCTGAATCTATATTAGACGAAGAATACTTAGATAATAATTCGGGAGATAATTACGAGAGCGAAAGTGAAAGTATTAATTCCGATTATAGTACTAGTCAAAGTTTTAACGAGGAGAAGAATAAAAATCCTCAACGTCGCCGCTAGCTAGACTTAGATAAAAAACGTCGTCGTGCATAGGTTTACGAGAAAAAGGATTAATCATAGATTGCTAGTAAGCTGCCGGAACGAAGCAAGTATACTATTAAGCAACACTAGAAGATCATATATAATCAGGGGGGGAAGAGGGAAAAGAAGATAGCAAAAGATAAATCAACAGTATCTTCACGAGGCATCTTTACATTAGATAATAACTACTTTTCTCGCTACTCAATACCAGCTACAGATATTCAACTAAGCATCATAAGCAAAGAGAGGATTTTATTAGTATCCGTTTATTACTCCGTGTTGTAGGTATAGGTACTCTGTGGGTAGGTACACATTATTCCGGGATGCGTATTATAGCTACTCCGAGGAACGTCGTTAAGCATATCTACGACTTCGAGCTTACATGGCCTTATACTCTCTCCCGTGTGCTGATGCTACATAGAGTGTTGGTGGTAAAGGCCACAATAAAGCATAGGCGAGACAGGAGAATAACCATAGGATGGTGCTCCGAGATGCATAATGAAAATTCAAAACCTCATTGGACACTTTATGTATCCTCCGCCGTCGTCGAATGGCGGCACTGGTCTGGTAGGGCTTGACTCAGCATACGCTACTTTATTATCCGGTCGGTATGCAATATCCTAATGTAACTTGCGACCTTTCTTGCACAGTACTGTAGTGCCGGCACGCTATCCGCAATGCTGTGTGGAATGCGCAATTCGATGCAGACCTGGCCTCAGCCAAGGCTAACTTCGGAGGGGTACACAGCTCCTCCTAACACCGCACTACTCCACCGCAGCATATCATCCAACAAGCGCCACCATGCTCGATTGACAAATGGAGGCACTCAAGCTGTTGCCTGATTGGATTCCTCAAAGTCCACAAGTTCCGATGTAAAGAATGCAATTCCTTGATAGACAGCCGTGTTTTCTACGCAACTCCAGTCAAACGTTTCGATGTACGGAACCATATTCAAAACAACGCCTGAGAATCTTAAGACATGTCTTAAATGTTATTGTCATCTTTGAATTCGCATAGGCGGAGACAACCTTGTGGCCGCTATTGATCGGTAACTGCTCGATAATATGTAGACAAGCCGCCCACAAATTCACGACAATCAGAGCAGTCTTCCCATCCGCCGTCCACAACGTGAGTGGTCCTGGAACTACAACATAACTTCGGCTTCTTTCCTTTCTTCTTTTTCTTCTTGTCCTTCTTAGATGAAACTGGAATGTCCTCTGGGGCAGCCTCTTCCGCTGCAGCCTCTACAGTGCTCCATGACCAATGCGTTGATCCGATTACCTTGGGCTCTTCCGGGGCTTCTACCGTTGTTCCAGCCACAGGCTCTGCCGCTGGCTGGTGTTCAGCCGAAGTTTCCACCTCGAATTTCCAGACAACTGGCTCTTCTGGTCGAGCTTCTCCCGCTGCTTCAATCTCAGGCTCATACTCAAGTTGTATCCTTTCCTTGCGATTTTTCTTACTCGTCTTGTGCGATGACCATTCGGTTAGGAGCCAGTCTGTTGATGCTGCTGGCTCGGGTTCCAGGAACGGCTCAGACTCTGGAACTGGCTGGGGTTCAGCTGGAGTTTCCGCATGTGCTTCCACCCCGAATTCCCAAAGGACTGGCGCTTCTGGTCGGGTTTCTACCACGGCTTCTATTTGACAGCCTGTAGCTGCTGGTTCCGATGCTATTATAGCCTCCCTCGTTGGCCTAGAGTCCGACTCTGACGCTGGTGGAGGATCCATCGGGGACGCTATTTTCCACTCCGAGGCTGAGTCTGGCGTTAGTTGTGACGAGGTGGTGGAGGCAGCAGCATCAAACACTGGGACATTATGCCCTTTAGCAGGTTTACTGAGAGCCGACTTTTCCATGCATATCCAAAACATGCTCTTGATGAGCATCTTGGAGTATGTTGAAGCTCTGTGAAAGCATTTTAGAAAGACCGGCTGGTCTGAAGGGCCTGGGTTCTCGAACAAGCGCTCGATGCGCCTCTTAATGAAAGCCAAAAACCACAGATCATCGTCGGGCAGGAGATCGCATGCGTTAGCACCTAAGACGATGGCTTCTAAGGCAGGCAGCGCTTCGGCGAAACCAAATATTTTATCCTTAGCAAGGTCGGCCAATTCCGGGAGACCATAAGCTCGGGCGGCGGCGTAAACATGAATACTGGTTTCGAACTGGGTTGAAGTTTTGTAGTCACTCAGTGGATGTCTCTTATAGAGGGTTTGCCAACTGCCTGTGTGAAGGTAGTGCACGAGCACATGGCCTGCTTGGTGCGGCACCTTGTCGAGACGGATCTTGTTATGCTCACTACAGATCTTGACAAGCTCATTGCTGACGCAGACGATATCGCGAGGAATGGTAGACGGCTGCCCATCTTTAAAGTAGATCGTGCAAGCTGGGCTTGCGTAAGGGCTTCGAATGAGATTAGGCCCAAATTCCATGTCACCAGAAAGTATGAGACTTACGATACCTCAGGCCCAACATCCGAAATGTGGCCGTTGCTGGGCGACTTCTGCCATTCAGCTGCCTTCATGGTTTTCTGTTTCGCTGTGGCTGTCAAGATGAATGCTCCTAGTATTCGTAACGAAATATTCGAACACGCCCTCCCCAAAGGGCCTCCTTATGTATTCAAAGTCTGATGCAAGAGTGAACCGTCTTACCGATTGTTGCATCGGTAATTCAAGCCGCTCACTAAACCAGGAAGGATCTTGGCAGCATGGCGTGCACAAGACGAGTGAACATAATGTCTTGGAAAAGCCTGCTGTACGACTGTGATGCGTGCTTCTAGTGCTGCAAGCTTGCAGCCGGTGAAGGCTCCACCCTCGTTTTTGTTCCGCCCTGAAATCGTCGTTGGGCTTCTGTTGGTCTACGTTATGCAGCACTGTAGTTGCTGGAAGCACTCTGCACGCTCTAATGCATGACCAACCGCCGTTTACGCAGTATCCACAGGGGCAAACTGACTCTTTTATGATGTACCGAAGTACACTGTTACGGCGGTTGGTACTACGGATCGGGTTAATTGCCTTTAACTTTGGCCACTACTAGGTATCAAATGAGCGGTGAGGCCACGGCGCGGCGATCGATACAAATGCGACCGGTGAAAGGCGGATGCCGTATTTTCAATATGTGTCCCTCCAACCTCTTACTTCTGACAGGCCTTAGCCTCGACCTGTTGTCATGGTGCTGTCTGCTCCCTTACACCCGTAGCCGTCGACGTTGTTGAAGTCTTTATGACCACCTCCATTATATGGCAGGGAAGCTTCAGGGGACGAGGGTATACCAGGACGAAGCATACCAGGACGAAGCATACCAGGACGAAGCATACCAGGACGAAGCATACCAGGACGAAGCATACCAGGACGAAGCATACCAGGACGAAATGTACTACGACGAGGCATACTAGGACGAGACTTATGGCCTTGAGTCCTAACCAAACTAACGGACCGTCGCTGAAACCCTCCACTTTCTATTGTGAGCACCTGGGACAAGATGTTCTGTAAAGACGTGAAGTGTGATGAAGTGAACTGGGACGAGGGCAGTAGAGAATTCCAAGTTATCCCATTCCGGTGCATCCCGAGATTCGAATCTGATTCTCTGTTTCGCTCCGCGTCCGTTTGTGTTATTACAGTACCTAGCCAGAGCAGAAGCGGAACGTTTATTCCAACATTGGTTGGGAGAAAGGCTGACTAGACTAGCGAATGAGTGCAATGCAAGTCAAGTACCTAGCGGAGGCTAAAATTAGCTGCGATCTAATTATGGGGGGGCGCTAGCGTAGATATAACGTTGTGGCCAGTACTGACAGCTCCCCCTGCGGGAACCGGAAGTGGCTACCGGATATCATAACCCCGCCGGACTCGGCCCAATTTACGGAGCGGTACGCGACTGGTATCCGGCAGCCATCTTGAAGAGCCTATCATGCTCGCTGGTCCATGCTCGTGCGTCCCGTAACCCCGAAAAGAGGCACCATCCTTAGCCATCCTTGGACGTTTCGATCATCTACGTCGCAAATTAAGCATAGAGGGACCTTGCAGTGGCCGCAGCTGGGCGACGCCATTTCTGGCTTTGGTTAGGGCCATGAGAGTACTGCAAGCCGGCTCCAGCGCAAAGCCGCTGCGAGTATAAAGCCTACGTCATCATTTCTGCTTATGGCCTGCGAAATGCTAGTGAGGCAAGAAGATGGGGGAAAGCAGAGGAGAGAAGAGGCAAAGCTAGATTCACACAGTGGTGCAGTACCACATTATAACACTGCTGAGCTTACTGTGAGCGTTCTATATTCGTACTCAAGATTTTCGTCATTTAACCAAGACTAGTAATGTATAAACCAGGCAGGAGAATAGACTAGGAGGCGACACTTTGGAACAGCTCTATTGTGCCAGGGACCAGTACCTAGGAGTTAGGGCACAGCGGCTGGCTGAAACCAGTCTTAAGGAGGCACTGTCTTAGATGCGGGACATAAATTAAGTCCGCCACCCCACCAGCCACTGCCGGCTACTAGGCAGCATCTGCCCACGGGTCGGGTGCCACTAGGGACTAACAGGCTTTGCTGTTGGCAAAATTGAAGCAGCGTCCAGCCACAAACGGCCACATTGCTTTCCTACCTACTTTTTACACAACTTTTCGTTTACATAGTAAGCTCAGCCACAATCTGATCTTGCCACATGTGTGATTTTCGCGCGATCACGTGAAATCGTGACCAAATCGTCATGACGAGGCAAATGGCGCGGTCACCAGGACGCGCCTTTGTTGAGACTGAAGCCCAATCCCACCCTTCATCATCCATTGCCTGCGCCCGACGAGTGTATAGCAGGACGCCTATAGGCTAGTTTACGACTGTTTAGCAGGATTTCACCCTGCAAGATGGTCACGTTTCTACAATGCATCTTTAGTGTGCGTTATGATGGTCCGATAAAGTATTTATAGGCCTAGGAGCTTTACTCATAATGTTAGGTAGTGCAGGTAGGCCTTCTATAACATCTCATGGCGTTTTAGGGCAAATACGGGTGTATAAATACACAGCTCCTTCTTCTCTCTCGAAAACTTCCTCTTTGTTTTTATATATACTAATTTTTACTAACCTTTATTTACTCGAAAGTGTTTCTCTTCCGGGTAGTATAGGTAACATCATAGATCGGTCGATACTAGTTTAGGTGAATTAGGGAGATCTAGAGAAAAGGGGGTACCTGTACCTGCCTAGGGGTTATCTTATAAGGGGGTAGGAAGGGCATGTTACCACGCTGGTCAGAAAAGAATAATCAGGAAAATAAAAATCGTGCCGCAAAGACTATTCACACTCTTACCAATGAAACGACATCCAACCGGTCAAGTTCTGGGGTTTGTGAGAGTAGAAGACCTATATAAAAACGAGCGTCGCCGGTGATTAGCAGGGGAGATTTACCGCTCTGCAGACAGCGATCGCTGGGACGATCAGAATCGATTATCAGAAAGCCGTAGCACGCTGAGAGTGTGGTCAGCATCGTGACCGCGGCAGCTGCCGACTTTTCGGAGCAGATCGGGATATTTTTTCCAGCCGTGCCTCCGAGATGAGGTGAGAGACGCGGAGTGAGCAGTTTCACGGTGCTTTGCAGCTTAGAATAGGTGTATCTGGCATCCCACCCATGAACAGCGTCATTTGCCTCCCAGGCTTTCGCTTTGGCGAAAACTCGCTCATGGAGACATTCGCGATGCTCAGTCAGATCGCTACAGCTGAACTTGAGGATGTCTTCAGCTTGTTGATGTGTCAGGGGTCTCAAGTCTGCAACCACTGCTAATGGATCTAGGCCGAATGCGATCTGGACTAGCAGTTGCTCAAACTGCTTTTCCATCATCTCAGCGTCCCACCTCGGGAGTACGGCTGGGTCGTACAGCATCTTCACTGTGACGTCCCCTGAGCGTGAAAAGCACTCAATGAAAACTGAGTAATCCACGTAGAACTTGTATGAACTGTTGTCAGTTTCGACAATAGTTTCGGTGTCGTTGCTAAAGCCAGACTCGAAATCTGGCTGTATGATGAGAAATGTCGTGAACGATGCGGCAGATTCCGGCCTGGTCGATTTGATGCTTTGTAGAGTAATTTTTGTGATCCGACGTCAGCGCGACTTGAGTCTTTACAAACCCGAAGAACTCGTGGGTTTGCAGTTGTGAATCCACATAGATACGCACCGGGACACATGCGATGGTTGGACCGACTACTGTCGCCATATCCAGATCGCTAAGCATCCTGTCAGACGGTGGATCCGGACATTGGCCATTGCATACATCGAGGCATGCATTCAACCCATGCACTCGGTTATTGTTTCCCATATTAAAATAACGAGGTCGGCATTCTGTAGATGAAACCCCGATGAGACAAATAGATAAAAGCCCATTTACTTATCTAGACAGTCTTTTCCTAATACATCACATTTTTAGCCTAGCTAGCTAGTAGGACGTACTACTACGTGATAGTTATAAGCCTAGTGACTTAAGGAAATAGAAGTTTAATTAAAGTTATTATTCCGAGACGAAGAAGTTTACGATATACTAAAAGATTAGCAGTCAGTCAATTTAGTTACTAACCTATAAGACTCTAGCAGTTACGCCTACTAAGAGAAATATCAAAGTTAAACAAGTCTGCGAAACACTAAGACCTTCATCATTATATAAATCGACTCGGTCGTATTAGAACAAATCAAAAAGATATCATCGACTATTATAATTATTTATCAAAATTATTAAAAGTTTATCTTAACTTAGGGGGACGCACTATATTCTAAGGATATAAACCTAGGACTTTTAACTTAAACCTTATATAAGTTTATGCTTGACTATACTACTAATACGCAGCTAGGAGGGTTAGAATTACGAAACGGAAGAGATACTTTATTACTTATTTTATACTATAAAAGCTTTAGGTAGATACGACGAATAGTTAGTTTACTTTATAGTCTTCGTATAACGGAACCGATAAGACTTTTTACAAATTGCGAAAACTCTACAACCCTGAATTGAACCCACGAAGGGGAGCTTGCTAGTCTTACGGTCCTTGCAAATAGTTATAAGTTAGGTAGCTAGACTAATTATACTAAACGGCAGGTTTATTAGATAGGGGGGGTGTCTTGCGTTTTGTTAAGAATTAAACGGTTACGATTAGTGTCACAGTTCTATGAACAGTCATCAGGGGCACGTGATATCTCACGTGCTGGCCGTACCCGTATAAGAGACGCCCTCGATAGCATCATCGTCAGTAGGCCAACTCAATAGAAGACCAACTGCTTATACCTACGTTTATCAATTCATCGTTGTTTATTGCCTTGTGACCGTTTGTTTGACTTCTGCATCATTCTATTTACATCTCTGTTCTTATCACGGTTCCGACCTCTGCCTGTTGTAGCCACGTGCTAGCAGGAAGAACTGTGACAAGTGGTAGCACAACTTAATCTCGATCAATTTTTTCTCTCGATTCAACCGCGATATATCGCGGAGAATCTCGAGGGAAATACCCCACGAGCCTACTCGCTCAAAATCACAACCCATACCTCGACGTAGCCAACGTAGACTTACACGATGAGTTACGCAAATAACCCGAGGTTAAATAACGGTCATCGCGAGACAGCGAGACGTCTCCTACGATATTGGGAGACATATCCCGATGATCCCAAAACAACAAGAATTTCAGACTCCTTCCGAGCATATACGAGTGTTATAGCGTTCATCGCGTGGAATACGAATATCGGCCGAATCGACGTCAGATACGACGATAGAACCTGGACTCAGGCAACGCAACTCGAAGACAGCTGGAGGATAGAGAATTACGACTATAACGAGGCGGTAAATAGCATCGCCAGGGCGATTATCTACGCCCGAGAACTCCAGGACCTCCAAGGACAATTCGGAGAACCAAGCTCGGAAGAGTTAGACATCACGAAAGGCAAGCAACCCGTGAGAAACAACGAAACCACCGAACCAGGGCCAATTACGCCGCCAACACAGCTTCAACAGCAAGAGCAACAACCTCCTGGGGCACCACTCAAGCACGGCCAATACGAGGGGAATCACGAAGACCCCCAAAAGCCACAGTCAGCGGTATCGGATACAACTGCAAGCCAACCTCAACAAACTTTTCAGCAAGTAGGACCGTCAAATCAACAACAATATACGAAACCGCCGCAAGCCGAGGTTATTCCTCCAAAAACGGAGGCACGAGTCATGGGGACCCCATCGGAGGGAACGCAATTTATACCGAGCCAGGGATGGAATCCTCAACAGCAATATATGCCCCCCGGCACAGGAGGATACCTTCCCCCTCAGGGGCAGATGCCATACCCAATGGCAACGGGATTTCCATCCTTCCAGACTCCACCGCCCCCTCAAATGCAGCAGCAGTTCGAGGCAATGCTAATAAACGCGTTCGGAAGGCTGTTGGGCACGGCAACGCCGGGATCGGAACTACCGAACCCAGGGAGGAGATTCGCGGCCATAACGAACATTCAGCAACGATACGGAGTATTCTGGCCCGACGCCGACAGCAAGTACGGCAGGGAGCCCATATTCCACGACCGAGAGACACCATGCTACCGAGACGTAGACCTATGGCTCTCGGCGATCGAAGCCAAGATCGTTGATCCTCACGCCCGAGACGAGGTCTTCAGAGAATGGCAGAGCCTACTTAGAGGCAAAGCACTCAGCTGGTGGGAATATCACCTCGGGCCCGTGGAAAGGAACCAGTACAAGGCCCAGGGATGGTTCGGCCTGCAGAAGGGACTGAGAGCCCGCTTCGGGCCAACCCAGATAGAAGCAATCCAATGGGTAGTATCCAACAAGTTCACCGTAGAAAAGATCGGTAGCAACAAGGACATCCGATTATTCGCCCAAGACTGCTTCAAATATGGCAGAGCATGGTTGGGATCGTCAACGCCCCAGCAGCAACTACTCACGATATTCTACAACGCTCTGGACCCATCTCTGCAACGATTTCTCCACGAACCAACGCTTAATGATACGGTTGAGAGCTATCTCAGACTCGCCGAGGAAAAACGCGGAGTTATTCGAAGATACCTGCAGACCCCAATCGAGGTTCTTCATACAACCGCCCCAGACAGTGAGGATAACGCTCTATGGGGAGGACCACGCCTAGCCTGGAACAACAGGAACCAAGAGAAACGCGATTTTCCCCAGCCACAACGTGACCAGCCCCAATGGCAACAAAAGAAAACGCAACTCAACTGGAAACAACAAAACTGGAAAGATCGCAAACCCTGGAACGCACAGCAGAATTTCCCGAACTCAAGGCGATTCGCCCGGTATAACCGTCCAGGTCAACCGCCTAACGACGCTAAGTTCGTGTGGGAAGACGAATCGGACGAGGACATGATCAATCACCTCGTCGATCACGGGTATATCCTCGAAGACGTCGTAGAAGTCCCAGCGGCACAACCACAAGAGGAAGAGGTAGCCCATACAGGATGGACTAATGACGTTGCCTTCCGCGCCCACGAGGCGACCACTCCCAAGGCAGAGATCCCTCCCCCATCTCCTCAAATACAAGAGGAAGTAACGGTAGTCACGACGGCGTATCAAACAGAGCCCCAGACGGAGCTGCCTAGCGACTTCGCTGGAGTAGCCGTGAAAAACCACGAAATCAGAGAGTTGCCGAAGTTAGCACCAGGCCAAATCATCGACGCTCAGACGAAACCGAATAAGCGTGGCATGCCCTCGAAAAGAACACACCTTCGACTCCACGTCAAAGCCGACGACAATAGCGAACCAGACGAGGTGTGTATCGACACAGGAGCCTCAACTATACTAGTTGAAAAGTCCTGGGTCACACGATTCGCCCGCAAATCGTCTTTTCGAGCGATCGAACCAAGGAAAATGAACGCCGTAGATTCCACCTTCCAGGTCACAGAAGAAGTGACATTTGACTTCTACGTCCCTGGTAAAATAGGCGAGACAGACGTGAACGCACACGTTATTGTCACAGCAGGGGTTGTCAACATGCTCGGAGCAAACCTATTGCTCGGCACCCCCTTCTGTGAGGAACACGGTCTCGTCGTAGACTTCAACAAGTCTGTTGTTAAGTTTCGATCCGTATTTAATATGGAGGCGCCCGTTGAGTATCGACGGCAGACGCCACCCGCCAGGCGCGTGGACAACGCCTACGCAGTAACAATTCCACGGAAGAGTCAAGTCTTCGTCCCGGGACGATACAGCCCTCTGCCAAGGGATAGTAACGACGGGAGCGAGACCTGGCACTTCCACCCAACACATGAGGCAGCGATCTACAGTACGGTAGACCTCGCGACCCCAGCGCTATTTCTCATCCATAACAAAGGAAATTCAGAAATGCGAATCCCCAAAGGCCGCCGTATCGGTCACCTCACGAAACAACCACCAGGGGACACGAGTATCCTGCTCAGCGACCTCGAAGCTGAAAATGAGCAGGACAACGCAATATTCAACATAACTAACGAGGAAAGCACCCCAGAAGGAAGTACCAAACCATGGATAGACGAGATACCAGACTACGGAATCTCTAAACCAGACGACGTGCCAATGATTCTCAGCAAGCACGGCGTCGAGATATGTGACTTCGACAAGGAATTCGCGCAACAACTGCGGAAAATCCTCGACAGGTACGATATTTATCACAACAAGGGTATCATACCACTCCCCGACGAGGAACGTATGCGAATCGACCTCGTCGACGGATGGCAGAACCAAAAAACCAACATAAAGGTATATCCACTCGGTCTCGAAGACCTCGCAGTTTTAGACGAAACCTACGGGCAACTTCACGCCGAGGGAAAGATGGATTGGGCTGACGGCAAGCCAATTCCGATTGCCTGTCCTCTTTTCATCGTATGGCGACAAACGGAGACCGCGAGAAAACCCAGAGTGGTCGCGGACTTACGCCCACTCAACCGTCTAGCGGTCCCAGACGTTTACCCCTTGCCAGACCAAGATGACATAATGAACGCGATTCGTGGCAAGAAAAGAATAACCCTCTTCGACGCCACCGGGTTTTTTCACCAACTGCCTATCCACTCGAAACACCGTAACAGGATGGCAGTGATAAGTCCCCGTGGTATCGAGATCTCGAACGTAGTACTCATGGGATTCAAGAACTCGCCGGCTTACGCCCAACGATTCATGGATCGCATCTTCCAGGACCATAAACACTTCGTTCGCGCGTACATCGACGATATCGTGATCTTCAGCGATACCGACGAAAACCACCT